ACTATATTGCAGGCAACCTGGAGCTTGGGATGGAGTGCAGGTGAGTCCCTTAGTGTACTCATGACACAATCAGGGTCCAAACTGACCTCAAGCCTAGAAGATGGGCTAGGATGATGAGGGTGAAATCTCACAGGGAAGAGAAATCCTGTTGGAGCTCAAAACACAGCAGTAGATTGCAAGGTGAGGACATGCAGACTACCTGATATGCCAGGGCTGAACTGCACCCTCGCTGCCTTGGTGAGGACTGAAAACAAATAAAATTCTGGCTGTACCAAAGTGAGAATTTTTTTAGAGAGAGGAGGCGATGGTTCTGTTTTACTCACCAGTGATAATGGGGTCCTATAATTTCTGGGGTCTCTTTAAGAGGATTGTTTTCAAGAGGAGACAACCAGGAGGATGAGAATCAGAATGCCAGTACAAGAAACAGCCACCAGTAGCTGGGCTTGGATCAGGCTGGGGAGGACACAGAAGTTTGAAAACATCACCAAGGCTGACACAGGCACGGGAGCTGGCCCTGCTGGGGATATCATCAAGGAGAAAGCAGACCAAGACAAGGAGCCCCATGGAGACGGAAGGAAGAGGCTTACAAGAGCACTGATAGAGGTTGGAGAGGCTTTCCCAGGAGGTAGTGAGTTCCTTGTCATGAAAAGCGAGCGAGTAGAGTAGGACCCCATGTGTGCTTTGGAATGAGTGTCAAACTCTTTCTCATAGGAGGAATTTCGTGATATCCAAGAGTCTGTGGAGACCATTATTGTCCACAAGGCAAGGCAGGGGTTTAGGCACTGTGAAAAGCAGATGGGAACTCTGGAAAGTAGGACAATGAGCCTTGCTGCGCATGGTAGATCTGTGACCCAAAGCCCAGTCTGGCCCTTCTCTCCCACACCTGGCCACAGCTTCCTTTGAATTGGATGAGAAGATTTCTCAAGTGGACCTGGAACCTAAGACGGAGGGTACAGGGGGGCTTGCGAGCTGGGGAGGAACTGCTTGCTCGACGTATGTGACTTTCAAAAAATTCATCACGAGTCATCAAAAGCTAGCATGATTCTGCTTGTCCTCTGCCTTCCTCTCCTCCATCTGCTATAGAGCCTCTTGTCTGCACTTTGGGCTGGTCCCCAGAGAAAGCTTTGTAGAGAAGGCACCAGGGCAGACTTCCCCACCCACTTCCCAGCAGGGCAGGATGAGGTCAGACTAGACTATGACAGTCATCTTCCCACAGAAGGGCAGTAGGAACCACCACCTCCTCTCCTCAGATGCACGCTCCTGTGCCCAAATCCAAAGAAGCCAGGGGGATTCAGATTTTCCCAATATCTCCAGGCTGTAGGCATTAGAGAGGCTGTGTCCTGCCCAGTGCTCTTGTACCCTCTCTGGGTGAGGCACTGAACCCTCAAGTCCCCACAAGGGGAAATGTTGCTGATTACTCAGATGTCCACCCAGAACGCTCACCCATGGGAAGCTGTACCTCCAGGCAGGGGCAGGAATGGACCCAATTAGCACCTACTGTGTGCTCACCAGCTCCGTACCTCAGGGGTCAGCCTGGGAAAGTTGCCCAGCCTGTGCTGCACTTCAAAGAGGCTGGCTTCGAGCTGGAGAGCACCCAGGGTGCTGTGGGACCTGGTGCCGGTTCATTAAAAGGAGCCAGGCTGCTTAGCCTGGAGAAGCAGAGCTCTCAGGAGCGCACAGCCCACTCTTCAAAGAGAAGAGGCCTGATCAGAAGGGGAAGGGAGGAGGCCAAGAGCCAATTCCTGTGTGTGTTCTGAGAGGCCAGAGGTGCCTAGATGCCTGCACCCAAAGGATTTTGTAGGCCAACCCATCTGGCTGTGCAATGTGCTTGCTGGCTGGTGCTGTGATGTGCGGCGGGCTGGATGGGGGTGCACTGCAGCTTCCCAGAGCAGAGCTTGGAGCTTGGGCAGAGGGAGGATGGGAGACAGCTTGCACTCAATGCGAGGCAAGCAATGTGAAGGTAATAAGCTCCCTGCTGTGCCACAGAGTGGGGAGAGGCCGGGATGACTGCTCAGGGTGGACTTGGCCAAGGACCTGCCTGTCTAGGTTGGATGTTGAAGAGAGCCCTGATGTTTCTATTTGGAAACCCCACCACATTCTTGTTCCTGGAGCTCTGAGAGCCCAGGGGATGTGAAAGGTCATACTCACAACGTCCAAGAAACTAGGATAGAAAGACGGCACCCTCAGCCTGGTCAATGCATACATTGCCGCTTCTCCTGAAGTGTTTCCTCCCCAGAGCCCCTTGGAGCATTGCTCTGACTTGAACTTGCCAGTCACATGGGCCAGGGGCCCCTGTAGCCAGAGTGTCCACAGGACTCCTACAGTGTCAGGCTCCAGGTGGCAACTCCTGAAATTTTAGGAAGGGTTTGCTTTGAAGGGAAGAAGACTCGATAAGAATTCTGGTCCTTGCTTTGCAGCCGCCTCCCCACAGGCTTTGAGGCAGAGGTGGAAGCCAAGTACCTCCCAAGTACCTACCTCCATTAGGAAGGCACAGGCAGCAAGTCAGATGGACAAAGGTGTGGGAGGGGCCTGGTCCCTTTGTTATAGCAGCTTAGCTCCTGCCCTTTCTCAGAGAGTCCAAATAGCCTCTGCAAAAGCTCCCTGTCATGTTGTCGCCTTATCATTAGCTGTATCTCTTCATGAAACTACTAGTTCATTGTCTGTCCCACTTTTCCTGCTCTCTGTCGATGCAAGCTTCATAAAAGGAGAGATGCTGATTTGTTTTGGTCTTGTTCAGCAGGATATCCCTAGAACCCAGCAAAGTACTGCTGCATAGCGGGTGTTGCACACATGTTTGTGGTTGCATAGAGGACAGTGATAGTGGATAGCAGTGGTGATGGGTAGCCAGGAGGTGGGCTCTTGAGACTTACCTGTAGGGCCACCTGGCCCTGGCATCAATTCTCAGCACTGTCCTGCCATCCTTAGGGAGAAGTTGCCAAAAGAGCTCAGACACTAGCAGAGAGCCATGTCCGAGACTGGTCAAGGTGACTTTGACCTCGGCTGACCTTGAGGCAGTTGGGTTGCATGGCCACTGGCCCCTCCCCTCATGCCAGTATTCATGGCATAAATGGTGCTGGGACTACACCAACTTCTGAGTTCACCCACACTTGGTCTTCAACCCAGGCTCTTAAATTGGTCTTCAGCATTCTTGGGTCCAACTGAGTCAGTTATTGGCCAATTCTTTGATCAAGAAGCAGTTAAGCTAAAAAGAGATTTAGCTTCCGTGTGTGCCAGTATGGGTGTGAAACTGCCTGTCAGTTTACTCGCGTACATATATGTGCATCCTACAGAGATGCATGCATATCTGTGCATGAGACAGTCCCCACGCAGATATTCAAATGTGACTGCATGTATACGAGCGGAATCTGTGTGTATCAAATCGTGGCAGCTGGTTCTGAATTTCTGCTAGTACTATTTTTCTGGTACACACCCAATCTTGATCTCTTTTCTTTTCCTTTCTTCTTGGAAATCCATTACTAAAAGGTTTTTTCCCCCGCCTCCAGGGGGAGGGGGGCTGAGAGAAGGGGAAGCTAAAATCACAAGGCCCAGATCAAAACACTCAGCAGCTAAATGAATTCGGCAGCATTTTCCCGCATGACTTGGAGGGATAATTTAGTGAGGCCGCCAGCTGGAAGGAAAGGGATTAATTCTGCACTTAGCACAACTCCAGTGAATAATTCATCACTGGAGACCTTTGTGCCAGCCTCTGGGCCATCAGGGCAGTGTCCTGCCCACCTGCCTGTTGCCTGCCTGTGCCCCCAAACCCCTGACCAGGGCATACAATGTTCCCTTCAGCCCCAGGATGCCTGTGCCCAGGGCAAGGGCAGGAGGCAGACCAGGGGGGTGAGAAAGGAGCTGGCAGTGGGCACTGGCAGATTCTAGATCCTAGGAAAGGTCCCAGAGGGCTGGGCTTCTGCCTGGGAAGTTTGTGATGTTTTTCTCCAAGGACACTATTGTCCTCTTTCCTGGGGGTCTCTGGTTTTTCAGTGACCTCCCCTTTTAGTGCTTTCTTGTTGCTGTGCAGTGGGGTGGCGATCAGAGCCTCTAACAAGCTCTGTCCCATGTGTTAGATGAGCCTGCTTGGATGGAGAGCACAATGCTAAACACCCACAGCAGTGAGAGGCCTTGTGGGGGATGCTTCAGCCCAGAACCTTCCAGAGAGACCCCTTCCTGTGATGTAGCTCCCCGTGTCCATCACGGGTAAGGTCCCTAATCCTGGGACTTGTATCATAGTCACATGTGGGACTATGTCATGTCATGTGATGCTGCTGACCCAAAGGCTGGGAGATTACCCAGTAGCCTGACCTCATCCTAGGAACCTGTTTCAAAGCAGTTATTTTCGAGCTGGGGATATAGATCAGTGGCGCTGTGCCTGCCTGGCAAGTGCAACGTCCTGAGTTTTTTACCTGGCTGCTAATGGAAGAGAAAGTCAGGATTTTCAAGCCAAGGGGATTGGACAAGCCTACTGGCATGAGATGGAGGGACTGTAGGGAGAAGGCACATGTGCAGTGTTGGGAAGCCCAGAATCTGAGGTGTGATTCCTGTACTGCAAGGAGCCAGATCCTGCTATCAACCCAGACGAGCTCTTCCCTTAGAGCCTCTGGGAAGGAGGGGACCTTGCCAGCCTGCGGTGCCCAACTAACTTCCTGTTACAGAACTGCCAGCGAGTACACAGGTCTTACTTGAAGTTAAGTTTGGCTTACTCTACCTCTGTGGGCCCTGGACCCCAGGGAAACAGGCCCAGCCTGGGCTGGATCAGGGACAGAACCCCAGGTCTAGGTGATCCTCAACTCTCGACTCTCCTCATCTTAACCCCAGCTTTTTCTCTGGATTTCTGGAGCCTCAAGTCACCTGTGGACGTTTCTGTTTAAAGTAGCTGTTGTAAGTCTCAGGCCCCAGTCCCTGAGTACAGCCAGCAGCCATGAAAGTGACTGAAAGTCATGGGAGGTGGGTCACAGAGCTGGCAAGGTCAGCCATGACCTTCCCGCCCACAGCCTTACCTCAGAGGAAAGCAGCTGGAAGGAGAGGTCTACTGTGGGTGCCTCACCATTGATGGTTTTCAGGGTGGTATCCTAGGGGTAGGAGGGAGCAGTCAGACCAAGAAGCTGGCCAGGGCAGTTTCAGACTCTGCTCCTCCCATGGTTATGGGTCCCCAAGAAGTGGCTGGGGAGATGGAGGGTTGCCCAGGAATGTGGAGGGAGGTGGGAGCTGGCCTCTGCCTCTGTTTCCCTGCCTGCTTCCCCACCTTCTCAACCTCCCTGGACTAAATGGCAGCTCCAGGCTCATCTCCTGGAATCTATTTAATGAAATCTGTTATGTCTGAAGGCCAGGAGCCTTTTAGGAGAAAAGAAATAGAAATAGGCATAGACAATGATAACAGGACAATAGGCATAGAAATAGATAATGGTAACAGAAATTGTATTCATGGTTATTGAGAACTCATTCAAAATGCTTTCTATACATATATTTTTCCTAACAAAATCTCGCAGCAACCATATGAGAAAAGTACTGTTACTGTGAGCCCATTTTATAGACAAAGAAATGGAGGTCATGAGACTTTAATCAACTTCCCTACATTCATGTGTGCTGGTAGGTGGTGCAACCAGACTTTAGGCCCAGAAATCTGGCCCTGGAGGCTGAGCTTTCGAGGCTGCAGCCAGCATGTCATTACCATCTTACAGATGAGGACTCTGAGGTTCAGAGAGGTTAAGTCATTCACCCCAGGTTCCACAGGGAGGACAGGACAGGCTGGAATTTGAACCCAGGTCTGGTGGAAGGCCTGAACTCTGCCCACTATCACGGGGGCCTCCCTGGGCTTCTTCTCTGGCTCTGTTCAGCCCCTTGTTCAGAGGCAAGGCTGGCTCTGGTAATGGGGGGCCCCTGCACCCACAAGGTTGGCTCATCTGGCAGGTGCTCTGGTCCAAGCTGCTGAGGGAGCCACCATCCCTCTTGGAGCGGTGTCACGATGGAGCAGGTAGGGATAGAGTGGTGACACTGGGGACCCAACAGGGGACTCACAGTGATGGGAAGCCGCTCAACATGCAGCCCATTCAAGCCTTTCCCTGTGAGCATCTTGCGGTATAGACGGCTCTTCAGCGGCAGCACGGAGATGCCTAGGGGCTGGCTGAGGGTCCACGGTGTGCTGCCCTGGGCTGCAAGGGAGGACCAGCTGGGCTCCTCAGGGGCCAGCCTCAGGTCCCACCTGGGCCCAGCTCTGACAGGGACCTTAGCTCTCCCCACCACACACACACTGTTCACTTCTTCCTGCTTCCTGGCTCCTGCCTGTGCACCCATCCTCCTCCTCCATCTTCAAGGCTTCATGGATCTGCACAGATTCTGCATCTCTGGGCATTTATATGGTCACCCTCATCTCTGTCCTTTGGGGGCTTCGGTTTCAGAGTGTGCAAGTGAGGCTTGACAGGTGGTCTCTGACTCCCATCTCCTCTGCACTCTGGGAGCTGAAAGCGCAGAGCTTCCGCCCCTTCCCTTCTCACTGATGGCTGCTATAAAAGCCTGTGGTGTAGAATGGGAGCAGGTAGCCTGGCCGGTGCCCTGCAGCTGCTCTATGCACAAGAGGTCAGCTGGGCCCTCTTCTCTTCATCCACCTGAGAGCCCTTAACCTACCCCTGCAGGAGGCAGAAGCAGGAAGGTGTGAGTATTCCCAGGCATCGTCTGATGAGTGGTAGCTCCAGAATGGCAGCACAGGACACTCACCTGAAGTGGAGGGGTAGTACTCCAACACCAGGGCTGTGTCCTCTGAGAAGTTGGTGGCACCATCTCGGCCTTGGAAGAGGAAAGACTGGTTCCATATTGGCAGCTCTGGGGGCCCCCCAGGCTTGGACAGCTGGAAGGAGAGATGGGAGCAGGCATGGGGCCACAGCGACCCCAACCCCAGGCATCTGGCTATGTGCCTCCACATGCATGAAGCTTTGTCCCAATTATAAAGGCAACATGCACTAAATAAATACCCTTTAGAAAATGAAGAAAAGTAAAAAGGAGGGCAAAACCCTTAAAACCCCAGGTCAAAGACCAACATTCACAAAACTTTCTATATTTTTTCTGTGCACATTTTGTATATAATTGTCATTCTAGCAGCTTGCCTTTCTCATTTACCACCAAAACCAAAGCATACCCAGAGTCACAAAAACTCCCATTGCCCATGACTTTAGTAACTTCAAAGTCACCTGTCAGGTCCCAGGGCCCTGGTTTCTTTCTCCCTTCCCATTTTTTTCCTGCAATAACATTGCACTGCACACCTTTTGTCATATACCCTGTGTCCCAATACCTAAACAACCATTGGGTTAAAGGATGTGATGCATATTTTAAGCCAATTCGCTAGTGAAGTTTTTTCCTAAGTGTTAAGTCAATGTTTGCAGCCATTGCTGGTGGTATCATTAATGCAAAATGAGTCCTGACTTCTGTCTTTATCACAGCCCCTCTCTGTCCCATACAAGTCCCCAAGGCCCTTAGACAAGGCCATGATAGGTTTGCAGACCCCAGGACCTTGGTGTATCCACAGGGGGTGGGGGCTGGGCACCCTGGTGACTTGGTGACACACTGAGCCAGCATCTGGGCACACACATGGGGACAATGTAGACAATGCAGTGACAGCATTAACTATTGCCCAACTACTGAGGCTACAGGCAATGTTCCCATGAGCAGTCAGAAAAGCTGCATTGAAGGAAGCAGAGACAGAGGAAGTCTCTGAATGAAGATCTGGCAAGGTGAAGCCAAGGAGAAAGTTCTGGGTGGGAAAATGGCACAAAGGACCAAAGGTGGAGTTGGCACCAAGCATGACATGTGTGGAGGAGAGTCGCTGGAGAGACCCGGCATCTGCAGAGGCTGGCAGGTGGGGAGATGAGGGCTGGGTGTCAGCCCACAGCAGGTGGCCCTGTGTGGGCCCAGCACACACTCTCCGTATGGCTGCTTTGCCCGTGTGCGTGTCAGGGGTTGTCACCAACAGGGACAGCTGCTCCCACGTTCCGTTGCCCTGCCCTGCGGGAGTCAGTCATTGCTAGTAAAGATCAGCACAAATGCACTGCGGGCTCCACGAGTTATTGATGCAAGATTGAGGCCCGTCAGCACAGAGCCACTCCCCTGTGGTGGCAGCACCCTGATGCCTGTCACACTAATGTGTCTGCTGTGGGTCTCCGAGGCTCAGCTGTGTCTGCCCTCATCCCTAAGGAGATGGGCTGTGGTCAATGCAGGGCTAGGGGCTCCTGAACACTAGGATAGCGGCTGAGGTGACTGGCATGTCCTTCAGCGTGCTTTCTGGCTGGTGCTGTGATGTGCGGCTGGCTGGATGGGGGTGCACTGCCGCACCCAGTGCAGAGCTTGGAGCTTGGGCAGAGGGAGGATGGGAGACAGCTTGCACTCAATGTGAGGTGAGCTGGTCCTGAGCTCTGTTGGAGCATGGGAGTGATCTTTCAGGACTGGTCCCCAGATCATGTCCCCTGGCTGCTAGAGGGGCATCCATATGGCCTGGGCCAGCTGCCAGACACAGGGGCACCAGGAGGGACCTGTGACTCAGTTCCCTGAAGCCCTATTGCTTGCCCCCACCCTGGAGCAGGGTATTAATGGATGCAAGCTACCTGCTCTGGGACCTATTAATGAATCCAAATGGGGCCCAGAAAGCCAGAGGTGGTGAGTGGCTGCCTGCTTAATAAGAGACAGTCCCTTCCCTGAGTGGCTTTCAGGGTAAGTCTCCCAGAAAGACCCCCTCAGACCTATAATTGGGCAGGGGAGGGCCAGTGCCCTCCCTATCCCCACACAGGAAGGTTGAATAACTGCAAGTCTGATGTTGGGACTCTGCTGAAGGTACTGGTGGCAGATGTCTATGAGGGGGTAGGGTGAGAGTAGACATTGCTGCAGATGCTAATGGGAAAGGCCAAGGCTGGCTGTGGAATTAAGGAATGTGATTAACCCTCAGCTGTGATCTTCAGAAAAGCCATTAACCTTCAGCCACTGAGGCAGCCCTGCCTTCCCTGGGGACAGAGACTTCATTCCACGGGTGCACAGCCCCTCCTCTTGTGCCCCACGGGCCACCCACACCTGCACCCACCCTGTGTGCTGTACTCAAGGACAACAGGGGCGTCAGAGAAGAGTAGCTGCTGGCAGCTGGGGCTGGGGTGGGGCCTCAGGGAGCCAGGACCTTTTGGCTCTGGAACTGGTTCTGCCTCAACCTTGCTGTGTGACTTTCAGCAAGTCCCTTCCCTTCTCTGGGACCTGGGTTTCTCACTGTCCAATGGGAAAACACATTGTGTGCCATGCCTGAAGAGCCTGCTGTGAGGTAGAAGGGCATGACAGATATTTTGCTATTAAAGAGCAGGTTCAATTCTGCAAATGTTGGCTGGGTGCTCTCCATGACAGACACCTGTGGGGTGATTCCAGGCATATGGGAGAGTTAAGAGTCAGATCCTGCCAGAGCTTACCATCTTCAAGGGGCTAGGGCTTGCGCGCGTGCACCCACCACCCCCTACACACTCTAGGATTCATGTATAGGCCAAGCAAATTGTAGTGATGGTGGCTGGGATGTCTGAAGAGAAAGCCCCACTCTGACCTGGGGTAGGGAGGGTCTGAGGAATGAGGCAGCAGCAAGGATGACCAAGGCCATCGTGGGCTGAAGGGACAGCAAGGTGAAGGCCAGAAGTGAGAGAGGACATGAGGGTGTGAACAACAAGCCAGGCTGGGGAATGTCCCCGTGACCTGGAGCAGGGAGCCAGGAGGCTGGCAGGGTTAGGGACACAAGTCTGAGAGAAGGACTTGGATCTGGGCAGGGGACTTGGACCTGGGCTGGGCTGTTTCTCAGAAGTTCATGAGGACAGAAAGGACCCCATAAGAGCTTGGGGACCGACTGGCTGTGGGGTGAGACAGGAGGAGGTGGTATTGGACACAGTAGGCTCCTGGAAATCAGGGAGCAGCCTGCGGGTCCAGTCCTAGCACCCACCTTAACGAATCAGTGCCCAATCATCACTGATTGGCTCAGGGAGGGCATGTGACCCAGCTCTAGCCAATGAGATGAGAGGAGAGGTCTGCTAGGGGATTGGTGGGTAGGTTGGTTTCCTTTCTTCTGAAAACCTCCCTTAGGTGGAGGCTCCCCACCTCTGCTGGCCTTTGGTCATATCTAGGTGGGGTCCTGGGACATTTTGCCCCTGCAAGCTGTTGGCCACCATCGATGACACTTTTGTGGGTGTTAGATCTTGTGTTTTTGAGGACACCAATTCCTGGCAGCATCCTATGTTGAGACTAATTGTCATCTGCAGCAATCAGTATCCTTAGTATTTAGATCCATCTGAGTTGGGCTTTCTTTTACTTAAAGCCAGTTTGACAAAGACAGTGTTGACCCTAGCTGTAGGGAGTGATTGGCACTAGGGGATGTGTGGCTGTGAAGGGGACAGAGTCCATCTAACTTAACTTGGGCTTGGGTGCTCTGTATGGAGCGTCCTTTAAACTCTCTGAACAGCCCAATAAATAGAACCCAACAGGTCCAGAGGACCAGAGCAGCTTGCAAAGCCCGCACAGCTAGTCAGTCACAGAACTGGGGTTCTGCCCAGGTCTGCTGGACCCTCTAGTCCCTGCCACAGTGCTTTGGTAGGGTGGCAGCTGGTGCAAAGTCACAGATCCCAAGATGACAGAGAGGACAGACCCCAGAAATTTCCTAGTCCAGCCCCCACCCCCGCCATCTGTAGAGGTGAGGGGATTGAAGCTCAGAGGGGATGGGGCAGGTGACAGAGCTCTGATCTCAGGGCTGTGAACAGGTAGGGCTCTGCCTACCGTCCAACTTCTGCCCCTGTTCTCTCTCTCCTTGCACCTGGGCACCTCTGTGCAGGCTGCCAGCAATTTCCCAAACTGGCCCAGCTGCCATGGTGCTGGGCGACCTTCAACAAGTGCCTGCCACTGCTGGACCCCTGGTTCTGGGAGGAAGTCTCTGTGGTGAGATGCACTTCCCCACCCAGGCCAGTTAGGCAGCAAAGGTGGGGGAGATAGGAGGAGGCTCCCTCATTAAAGCGTGCAGAGCCTCCTCAGCCCCCCGCCAGGACAGACTGCTGATTAGTTCATAATTTTCTGGGAAAATGCAGGGGCATGTGTGATATGACTCTGGGGAAATCAGGCCAAGGATTGGTTTGGGTTTGAAGCTTCTGTCCCCAGGGTCTCCCTTTGTCTTGCCCCCCCCCCGCCACCATCATTCTTGGCTATGTCTAGGCCTTCTTCAAACCTCTTTGTCTTTAAATGAAGGCTGAGACTCCAAAAGGGTATCTTGTTCTACTTTGCAGTGCCACGCATGAACACTGCAGGAGGGACTTCCTCAAACCCTCTGTCCTCTGAGGCCCCTAGAAATGTAGGGACCTTCATGTAGGGCAAGCTCCTACTGAAGGGTGGATATGAGAAGAGATCAATGTAGACCATGGCCTATCTACAACCTGTCCAAAATCTTCAGACACTGCCCCTGTGTCCAGCCCTGCCACATACCATGCCAAGGTATCAGCAGCTGGCTCTGTGCCCTTGCTGTCCTCGACTGCCCTGGCCAGCCCTTCCCCTATCAAGAAGTCAGGACCGCTGTTCCCTAGATACCCACACTTCCTGTTCTCTGATTCATTTAAAATTGTTTATTATGGTGAAGTATATATACTACAAAATTTACCATCTTAGCCATTTTAAGTGCACAGTTCGGTGGTGTTAATACATTCGTATTGTTGTGCAACCACCAAAAACATTTCTAGAACTTTCTCATCACCCCAAACAGAGAGTCTGCATTCATTACATAGTAACTCCTCATCCTTCCTCCAGCCTCCAGAAACACTATTCTGTTTCCTGTCCCTGTGAATATACCGATTCTGGGTCCTCCTGCCCATGGGACCAGACAGTATTTGTCCTTTGGTATCTCCTCTCCTCTGGTTTTTGCAGCTCTGAAGTCCCTGCTGGTTATTAGGTTATACATGATCTGCACTGATATTTAACACCCCACGTGTGGGTGTCCTGTCTTTATCAGGTCAGGTGAGGAACAGACCTGGCCCTGGATAATGTGCAGCAGCTCGGAATAAACTCTTTTTCAAGTCATATAAACCTCTGGCTCACAGGGTGGATAGTGAGGGTTAGGGTGAGTCATTAGACAAGTGAGCCGCCGACAGGGTCACCAGCAAAGGGCCTTACCTGTGGGCACCCGTACTGGCTGACCTGGGGCACATCGAAGTTCAACACTGATGAGATAGGGAAGGACAGTGGACTGATGGGGAGCCTCCTGGAGGCTGGGTCCCGGCTTGCCTGGGTCCCCCTGGGGAGGCAAGAAGACGGGAAAGTGTGGAACTCTCTGTTCTGTGCCCAGCTGGCAGCTGGGGCTCCCCAGGGGACTCTGGATTGGTGTGAGAGATGGGCTGCCTGGTTCAGGCTAGACCTTGGCACAGTGGGTGGACCCGGTCCTGTGGCTGCTGGCTGAGCCTCAGGAGGGCTCATCCGGGTTGGGAGATGGGCTGCAGCTCCCAGGTTCCCTTGTCTGGGACTTGCTATTGCCTTGGCCACTTCCGAACAGGTCAGCTTGCCCACTTTAGAAATGATTCTCACTGGGCGTGTTGGCGCATGCCTGTAATCCCAGCACTCGGGAGGCTGAGGCAGGAGGATCACTGTGAGTTTGAGACGAGAGTGGGCTACATAGTGAGTTCCAAGTCAGTCTCTACATAGTGAGACCCTGTCTCAAAAAAAAAAAGAAATGATTCTCACCTCTGGGGACCCTGTCAGAATAACCTCCCTTCCCCATCTTGTGGGAATCCTGGCTTAGGCTGGAGGGGTATGGAGAGCCTTGCGTGTGTGCATGTGTGTATGTGTGCACGCGCACATGTCATGTACATGTGTGCCAGCCTCAGTGGTGTGTGTATCAGGGAACTAGTCATCGTCATTCTTCCAACAATAAAAGGGGGCTTATAGGTCATAAAAACCCCTGGGGTGTAAGTGATTTGGGGAGTCCTCTTGGGCCACCAGGGTGACAGGGCGAGTGACATTGGGGTGCTGCCCCAGAGTACCAGCTCGCTGGGGGACTTCCCACTGTGGTCTCCTGAGGACAGTGATCCAACAAACTCCGAAGGAGGTGTGTGTGGTGGGTAGGGGCTGGGCCAGAGAGGTGAGGAAAGGGACTTCCATATGGAATTCCAAGATGGCCTTAGGCTGCCTCCACTGGGGACAGCTACCAGTTGGCACCTGTAGCCCTAAAGTAGAGTGGGACAGGAAATAGTAGAGGTGATAGTCATGCAATAGGAGACGGGTTTGGAGGAGCAGAGGCACCTGGAAAGGGAGGGTCTCCAACTCTCCTTGTACACAGCTCCCGGCTTATCTCTCCTGGCCTGTGTGACCCTATCCCCTCCCCACCTGCCCAGGAACCACCCCAGCTGCCCCTCTTCTGGCCCTGAGGTTACCTGGGGAAAGGAAGGACTGGCCTGCTGTGGGAAACTCACAGGACCTCAGAGATGTGGGGGAGCTTTGAGGCATCGTGGGGGCAGGGCAGGCCTCTCTATCCCCCTCCTTTCTGGCCCACACCCACCTGGGCCCCACTCACTTAAATTCCCTGAGGCTGGGAACCACTTGGGCAATCACTACCATGGGGTTGGAGTTGTTGAGCAGAGGCTCATTGACTCCCCCGAGAAAGACCTGGAGAAGACAAGAGGCAGGTGAGGCCCATGTGAACCTGGCCCCTGTGGACATGGCCAGCCCTCCAGCCACCTTTTTTCCCCAGTAAGGCCATCTCTGCCTCCATCCTCCACACTGCTCTTCCCTGCCCTGGCTAAACTTGATTCTTGCTCTGCTCTCTCTGCCTGGGGCCTGTGCCCATGAATGCCTTGGGGCACTGCTGAAGCTCAGTAGGGGCCCTCAAACACCAGCTGCCTCTGAGGACAAAGTCTGGGGCAAGAGCCAGGCTGGGATCATGGGGTCAGGAGCATGGGGTCCTGGGGCAGGACAAGGTTGGGTGAGGCGCTCTGTCTTCTCTACGTTTCTGTCCATCAAAAGGGGCACAAAACCTGGTTCTGGGTCTTCCTGGGTCTTTGATTAGATTTTTTGTAAGAGGACATTTTATAAACGGAGGGCACATCAAGCCCAGATCTGGTCTCTCCAATCACATTGAGCTTCCCATGTTCATGGGTCATAGTCAGCTCCGCCATCCCCCAGTGGACATAACTCTGGTGCCTGCTCACCCCAGAACTTTCCTGGAAAAGGCTGATTTGGAAGGGAATCCCCATCACTAGCATCTCCTGGCTCCTCTGCCTCACCGTCTCCCACCCGGAATGACCTCGGTCCTCTGTCACCTCTTGGGCCTCTTTGCACCCTGGACCTGATTGCCATCTCCTCTCAGGGATCCCAGTGGCAGCAGCTAAGAGGTCATATTCCCAGGAAATGGTGATGGGCAAAAATATTGCCCTAGCCCTCCCTGTCATCTGCTTAGCCCAGCCCTAGGCCAGAGGGAAAAGACAGGGGTTCTGGCCTTGCATTCCCCTTGTGCCACCCCAAAAGCTCCTGATACAGCCTCTGACCCTCACCCCTCACTTCTTCACCTTCATTGGTGTAGCTCTTACTATGTTAAGGACAGAGAAGTGTAGGGTGAGGGAGAAGGACTCTCAGGGAGGCCTGGATTTGGGCTGGTCTTAGGGATGAGGGTGCTAAGGGAGAAGAGCATGTAGGAAAGGGGCTTCTGGACACAGCAAGGAACTACACCAAGGACAAAACTGGTGGGAGGAAGAGGTCTCACCAGATTCCCTTCAACCCGTTGCCCTGGCTTGTGCTTGCTCCATTCTGAGCCTCAGTTTCCCAGCTTGTACAATGAGAGTTTGGGCCGATCCCTGGGGTCCTTCTAGCTCTGGCCTTCAGTGGAAGGAGAGGGCCCAGGAGAGGGCTCATGCTGGATCTGCCCCTTGTCCTCTTTCCGCTCAGCACTGTTCCCTGGGCCCCTCTGCCAGGATCCCACTCGGCTGGTGATAGCCAAGCAGTGCATGACAGTCCCCAGGTCCTCCCAGTGGGCCTCTGATGGTGGCATCACCAGAAGGCTGTCAGGCCCTGTTGCTGACAAGGACTCCAGTAAGTGTAAGGTAGGGGGCTTGATAGCATGGGGGCCGCCTCACACCTGTTCTATGCTGATTTTGGTCAGGTGTGGCTGAGAGCTGCCTGAGCACACCTGCCCACAACAGGTGAGAAACAAGCAACTTCTTTCTTTGCACATGTGCTGAAGAACAGTGCCTGCTCTGCCAGGCCATGCTGGTGTGATCTGTCACCCATGGGCAGTTTGAAGGCTACAGGAAAGCGGGGAGGGGCCAGGCCCCAGCACTGTGTCTGCCTTGAGCATCAAATGTTTCTTGAGGGCACTGAAAGGCCAGGGATGAAAGGTGACGAGTCTAGGATGAGCTGGACTCAGGCCTGGCCTAGCTCACAGACGAGGTTGTGTGAGTAGTGATGAAGGAATGAATGAACTAACTCCTGGATCCCTAGTTGGCAGCCTAGACAAATCTCAGGAAGAGCCAGGGAACGCCCTGAGTTTTTGCCTGGGGCACTTGGGTCAGGGATCACTGTGCCTGGAGAAAGAACTGATTGAAATCAGCCAGGGGCTGTGGCCCAAGGTGGGGAGTACAGGGTCCTCCCCAACTTCCATCAGATGTGGGTTTTCTTGAGGCTATGGGAGGCTCTGGTCCTGGTGCTCCCTGCAGCATGGGGCAAGTGTGGGCAGCAGGGCTGTAACTAAGGGCAGGAGAGGCTGGAACAACTGTCTTACCCACATCACAGTTTTGGGAACTTCTGACTGCTTTGGCTTGTCTTTGATTTCTTCCCTGGACGCCTCTGTGCCACATGCTTAGGCCAGCCAGAGGTGGCTGTGGGCAGGCCCTGGGTACCTCCCTACCCAAGACCCACCCCAGAGCCCCAGGTCCAGTACCTCCAGAGCTGTGTGGTCACAGCCAATGTAGCGGGGGATGAAGCTGCCTTTTCGAACGATGGTCACGTACAGCTGGGTCTTGGCAGTGGCTTTGTTGGAATCCTCAGTCTGGATGGGATAGGGAGAGAGTGGGGACAGAAGACAAACAAGAAGGAACATATCTGAGGGGCAGAGCTTGGCCATAAATCCAGTCCTCTGCAACCATCACTTGGCATTGCTCCGCTGGGGCTCTGAACGATAATTAAAGCTCATGGTCCCCATGAGCCCTTCCAAGGAGATCAATATAATAAATCTCCCTTTTCCATTTGAATATTTCATCACCCTTGTGAGGGCCACCCAGGCCTGCTGTCTGGGTGAATAGGTGATAAGAGGCCTTGTTGTTAATGGACAGAGGGGTGGGGCTTGGGAGAAGCTCCTGGAATTGCAGCTGCAGGGCTGAGTCTTCAGGCATCGTGCATCTCCAGGTCTTTGTTTCCCTGCCCAGCTTGGTGCCTCCTCCTGGAGTCCTGGGGTCTCTTCCAGGCCTAGGGAAGGTAGAGGCCCCTGGGGCCATGGTCAGAGAGTGCTTGATGGGAATGTCAGTGCTGGGTCCTGGAGGAAGGGGCGAGGAGGGAATGACCAGACCTGAGCAGCTCTCATGGGCCAGGAACTCTGGATCTCGCTGCAGAACCCTCCAGATGACAATGCCAGGGGCGTGCTGTTGGGGGCCTGGCACTAGGTGACCTCCCATGAGCATCCAGCTGATGAGTAGCAGGCATGGGATAGGAATCGAGATAATCTGCCCTCGGTTTTCACTCCAGACCACTCTGGGGGTCTGTGGTGTATGGGGGCAGGAGGGGACAGTGGTGCTGCTGCTTATCTGTGGCACATTGTAGGTGCTTAATTAGCATTTGAGCAATGATTGAGTTCTCCCCTCCACCAATCAGTGCTGGGCAGGAAGCAAAGGACCCAGGGGCTTCCATCTCCAACTGGAGCTGTCCCTGAGGGCATGGCAGGTCAAGGCAGCACAGAAAGAGCTGGCTTGGAAGCTGGCATGACCTGGGCTCGCCCGCAGCCACCACTCAGAGCTTGCTCTGGGACCCAGGGTGAGAGGACGCCTCTCCCAGAGCCGCGGTCCCATGGGGCAAATGTGACTGACCTTGAGGATTAGGGATGTATGTGAAGCATGTAGCTCAGGACTGGAGCATGGTCGGAACTTTGCAAGTGCTCTTTAACTGATGTATTCACTCAAGGTGGTAGTTGTTTTATGCAAATTGGGTTGCTTTATAGAGATGACTGTGAAGAATTCCAAGTTCCTTTTTGTTTTGCATTGTTCTTTTGAGACAAAGTTTCACTGTATAGTTCAGGCTGGTCTTGAACTCACCATGTAGCTCAAGGTCACCTCAAACTCTCACCATGATCCTCCTGCCTCAGCCTCCTGAGTGCTGGGATGACAGGTGTGCACCACTGCACCCAGCACAAAGAATTCCAAATTCTTGTGGACATCATTCCTATCAGGGGCTACAAGTCCTATGTAGACGCAGACTTGTTCTGCCATGGGGTGGGCTTGGGATGCCCAAGTTGCTTTTGGGGAGTATTTGGGGTTATCAAAGTGCTCCTCACTGTTCCCAGAGCCCAAGGCTGTGACTCACCTTTCCCAGCTCAAAGTGGTAGGGGTGGAAGACACGCAAGTACTTGATGGGGATCTCATAAGACAAGAGCTCCTCTTTCTTCTTATTGTCCACCACTTTGAGGACCACATCTGGAGACAGGAAAGGAGCACAGAGTCAGAGAAAGGGCCAGACAGTTTCTCTCCCAGCTAGGAGACTCAGTGCAAGGGGAGAGACATTGCTGAGTAGAGGGGACAGAGGCCACATGCAGAAATCAGGACATTTGCCTTGTGTGGACACACGTGTGCCCTGCTCTAGTCCGTGCACAGCACAAAGTTCTGTGGCAGGTGCTGTTGGGACCCAAAACATGATTTCCTCCTGTGGTCAAGAAACTCCCAGCCCAGGCGTGCAACACAGAGCTGAGCCCAGCCCCTTGGAGGTGACAGGCACATGTGTCCCCAGACACACATAGGCAAGTAGGAACAGTACCTTTGACCACAAACATGCTCACCAGCTTCTTAGGCAGGATGGGAGGCGGGTGGGAAGACTGAAGCTCAGTCAGGAAAAGTGATCTGCCCGAGAAATCCTTCCATGTAGCTGTCAACCAAGGTCTACCCCAAAACTAGTCTCAATGCCAGGAATAACACTTTCCAAAAAGACCACATTTTCCCATCCAATGGCATGAACTTTAAGATGAACTCCAATGTCCTAGACATAATCCTGTTGTCCCACTTAGTGAGCACCTGCTCTGTGCCAGGCATAGGGATGGCCGTTACCCATTATGGTGGGTGTCGCCATCTGTTTTTGCAACATGGGGATGGAGCACAGAGGGGCTGTATAACTAGGTCGACAGCAGACACCTGGGAAATGGATGCTAGGTGAGCCTGGATGTGATGGCCTTTGAGGCAACTTCCTGTTCTTGAAAATGTATGATTTGAGGAGGAAGAAGAGATAGGGAAGGAGGGAAGGAAGGATAGAGGAAGCATGAAGGAGGGAGGGAGATAGAGGAAGGAGGAGGAAAAAGAGAGACCTACAGGAGAATGGGGAAGAAAGTTGGGGAGAGGGATGTGTGCTTGTGGGACACCCTTGGGAAACCCTCCACTGCAGAAGACCACATTTCAGAACCAGGGACAGCAGCAACCCCGGAGGCTGGCAGACCAGAAGCCCAGGGCTGAGCTCAAGCCAGGCAGTGCCTGGGACCCTTGGAGCTGATGAGTCATTTGGAGGGGAGGGTTGAGAAGGAGGTGGGGGGCTTTACTAACTTTCTTCCTTTCTTACTTTCCACAGCAACCCTGAACTCACAGAAAGGGAAAGATTTACCAAGAGACGGCTATAAGATCTATGCTCAAAGGGAAGAGGGGAAAGGGGCACCAAAAAGTCTTGAGATTGACTTTAATAAAGTAGAATGATAGGGCTGGTGGTTTAGCTCAGTGGGGCTGTGCAAGTGCAAGTTCAAGGTCCTGAGTTCAATCCCCAGTTCCACACACACACACAAAGTAGAGTAAGGCAAGGGATTTGAATTCATCAGATCTGGGCTCTAGGACCAAAACTAATGTGCTCTATGACCTTGAGCAAGTCGCTTAACCTCTCAGAGCTCCATGTACCTTCTCTGGAAAATGTTAATACTTAAGCAAATAAAACTATGAAGAAAGAAACCCTATCTCCCTCCTAGTACTGTTGCAGGAGGAGAGTGTGTATTTTGAACTACAAAATTCTATGAAATGCTCCTTGTGTCCATCATCATTTCCCTCTTTGCTAATAATCTGCAGCTCTCTATTTGCTCACCCAGTCCTGAGCAGACACGAAAGAACCAGCTGTTGTCCTGTGCTCCTGGCCGAGGCTCCAGTAGCTGTGAGGCTGCTGCTGTGCACGCCCACTCATCATGGGCCAGGGCCTAATCTGATTGGGATTTGCTGAGGCTAAGCAGGAGGGCACTACCCCATGTTCCCCCAGCCCCCAGCAGTGGGCTGTGACAGGGGGACAATGGCCACCCCTCCTGCTACTGTCTGCACGCTGCACACACGCTTCATCAGCTTCTTCTCTGGGCATTGTGCCCTTCCGGCCTCCCGCTGCTCCCTTTGTGTGGCCAACAAGCCATTTCTGCTGCTGCCTGCTCTGGCCTTGACCCAGGGTCTGCAGTGCCCCTTTGTTTTTCATTAACACATCCTTCTGCTACCTCCCACTACCCTCCTCCTGCCTCTTGGCCTGGCCCCCACTCCCCCTACTCCCTCTATAGCAACTGGTTCTCACCAGGTTTCAACAAGCTGTTTGGATCTGCAGAGGTACCGCCAATATCCCCTGCCTGCTCATGTGGCCTCCCCACACTCCTGTCCCTCCTGCAGTTGTCCTGTCCTCTCTCTGCTGTACAGAGGGCCCTGGGGCTGCTGACCTCATCCCATCCCCCACAGATGTCTACAGCCTGGGGTGGGACCCAGCCCAGATCCATGCTCCTAAACCCCTAACCTCCTGAATGCACACACATATATACACACTCGTTCAATGCCACGTGCACACCACCATCTAGATGCCAGTACACCAATGCACACACAGAACACAGAGCTGCAGCCAGACTCACCTGTGCACACAGACATGTGTGCCTATAGGCACAGAGAAAGCATGCACTCACACACGCATAATGTTCACACAAACATGAGCCAGCATGCAGGCATTCACAAAGACATTCATACACTTGCTCACACAGGCCTCTCCGTGAAATCCTAGACCAATTTGTCCTCCTCTTTTGCATCTTCTTGAATCATCTTGTCAGCTCCAACTACCCCTTTACAGGCAGGAAAACCAATTCTCTGCCTTGACCCAGAACTGGACTCCTCCTCTGTACGGAGGCCCTCCCTCCCTGTTCCCTCTCCCTCCCAGCCTCTGGCAGCCAGTTTGCTCTTTGTGAAGAGAACAAGGAGAAAAGCCTGTCCTTTCTGGGAGCACACCTGCGGGAAGACACCAGGTTCTCATTAGATGAGACCAGGGACTTGCCTTCTCATTTGGGCTGCCGGTACCGGAACCAGCCCGGCAGTGCTCCTGGGTGCCAGCCCCAGCTCTTCCCTGAGAGTGGGTGTCAGGTGAGCCCACAGTGTGGAACACAATTGTACACATCCAGAAAGTACCTGGAGGCTTCTTCTGAGGCCCTGAGAAGTCTATGCAAGGAAAAGAGGTTTCTAGGGACATTAAGCAAACCACAGCTGGGTATGGTGGCACATGCCTATAACCCCACCTACTTGGGAGGCTGAGGCAAAAAGATTGCAAGTTCAAGGCCAGCATGGGCAACTTATGGAAACTCTGTTTAGGAATAAAAATTTTAGAAAGGGTGTATTCTATCCCCATTACTAAAATAAAACAAGACAACCCACCCAAGACCCTGGGGTGCTGGTGAGAAGACACAGTACTGAGTTCTGGGCGCTCTGCTTGCTGAGAACTTGTGCTTCAGCCAGTTGTCAGATCTCCTGAACCAGAGTCTTCCTTTGCACAGAGTGCAGAGTGGGGTGACTCCTCCTGAGAGGTGGTGATGCCAATGACAAATGCGGGGGACATGCCAGGGAGCCATAAAGTGCCTTTGCAGGGGAGATGGCAGTAATAACAACCATGAAAATAATAACATCGGCAATAAAAAGATAAGCATGCATTGTCTGGCGAATTCATTTATGTGGAACAAGTCATTTTTGGAGCAAACCAGAGACATGAGGCGTGACGGTATTATGATTTGTTTTTTGAGTGCTTTTAACTGGGCCCGGGGGGGTTGTTCAGGTGGCTCCCAGCTGAGTGGAGAGAGAGGCTGCTTGTGCCTTTCGTGGCTGGTGGGTCACGGTTGCAGCCCCTCACATACACACCAGCCCCCCAGCCCCAGCCTCACCTTCTCGTCCCATGTCCTCTGCGGGGATCTCCACTTGCACTGAGTCTCCCCAGATGGGGTTTCGGGTGGGCTCTGAGGTCACAGAAGTGACCGCCGTGGAGCTCTGTTTGTTGTTTTCCTCAGATGTGGTTTTCCTGGGGAGGGAGGGGCAGGGTGAGTGTGAGGAGGCCTACTCCACTGTGCATAAATCCAAGTGACACTCATGTCACCCTGGGCCCAGGAGACACTAGACTTGTCCCCTCGGCTGTCCTGCCCGCCTGGTGACCAGACTGTCTTGCTGGCCACAGCTGAGGCTTTGTTGGCCCAGGTCTAGGGTGGGGCAGGCAGACGCCACGCCTGTCTGACACCCTGTCCCTTTCTGGGGCTCCCAGCAGACGCCTGTGTATGCGGACCCTGCTCCTGACCTGGCCCCTCCCTGGCTTGGCTCAGGGGAGGAAGCTTCTGATGGCGTGGGTGAATGAATTTGCCATGCCCACCTTGCAGTCCTTACCTTTTGGTCTCAATTCCATAAGTGCCTGGACCAGATTCCTGGGCTGGCCCAGCTGCCTCAGCTGGGACTCTTTTAGTGGAGAACTCTGCTCTCCTGCACTTCCCATTGGGTGTCAGGGCCCTGGCTGGGCCCTCAGCTGGGCACCGGGGTGGAAATGAGTGCTCACAGGTGAGGTGGGAGCTTGGCCCTCTGCATCCCTGTATAGTCCCCAGCTTCCTGGCATGTGGCCTCCCCACTGAGCCTCAGCTCCTCTGTAGGAGGCTGGTTGTGAGCATCACAAAGAAAGAAAACCTGTCACTCCTAGGATATAGGTGCCATCTGTGTGATCCCCCTGGGTGGAGCAAGCCAACCAGGGCTTTCCCCAAAGGGAAGAAGGTAAGCACTGAGGGACTGGGGTTGGAGGGATGTGTCTCCCAGAAAGCAGGAGGACCCTGGACCCATCCCCTTCAGGCCCTGCAGACCTGAGCATGCTCCTGATGTCTGCAGATGACCATGTGGCCCAGTGGTGGAGGCTGTGAGCCTGGAGAGGGGACCACATGAGACCCGGCAGGGCATCAGGGCCCCAGTCCACCCATCTGCCCCAACCCTTACTTCTAGCTCTGTGGCCTTTGACTGAGGGTGCACTACCAACCCTCCCATGCCACCCTGAGCCCTGGTCTCCCTCCTGACAGCCACCCCAGGTCAGAGCCCTCAGAGCTCTCAGGGGTCCCCTCCTGCCACAGGCCACTACTCTGCCCTCGCAGCAGCTGTGCACTGTGATAAGGCCTTGGCTTCTCTGCCAGCAACCTGCCTATGGCAGCAGCCGGCAGGTGGAAGTGCCAGGGGTGTAAGGAGAAAGGCAACCTGTCTATACCCCAAACGTCCCCACACCTACTCCTCGTGGGATCTTCAAGTGGCTCTGTGTGCCCAAAGAAGATAGAGTCAGAGGTGCGAAGCCACAGCAGTGCAGGCGGAGGACTTGGGGTGGATCCTGAGCAGTACTTGTGAGCTGGTCTCGACCATTCTGCTATCTGTGCCCTGGTGCCTTCCCCTTCTCCATCTGACTGCACTGTCTGTGCATTTCCATTTAACTAAATGCCACACGTCCCCACTGCTGTCTTCTGTCTGGAGACCGAGATGTACAGGGACAGATGGGAGTAAGAGGGCTGGTGACAGCCTTAAGCAGTTTTCTGCTGACCCTTCTTTCCAATCTGAGATTTATGGGTGTGAGGAGTCACACCTCCCCCAGTTTTGGTCTGGGTGGGGAGGCTGGGCTGGCGGGACGAATTCCAGGTGTTAACAGATGGGAAGAGCTATGGGCCCAGGGCAAGGGCTGATTCTCTCAGGCCTACAAAGAGTTAAGCCTCCCTCTCCCAGCTCCTGACACTCAGAGGTCTGCAGGACTAGGTGAGGGAGATGGAGCTGGATGGGAGGGGGAGGCCCCAGGGAGGGGAGGCTTTTAGCAGGTGGAGGAAGCTATCAGGGCAATGGCTTTTCCTGGCACTGCTGACTCCTCTGGGCCTGGGATATGACCCTAGCAACTAGAGAGCAAGGGGCCTCTGATTGCTCACCAAATAGCAAGGAGACCTGCCCAGTCCCTGCCCCCACCTGCACTGCGTGCTGGGAATGGGGCTGAGTTCTATCCCCTGCCCCAGGGCCTGTTCAAGACCCCATCCCTGCAGGCTGTCTGTAGGAAGGGAGACACCCCCTCCCTGCCCTGAAGCTCTGCCCTGGCTCTGCACCCTGGCGCCAGGCAGGCAGGGGCAGGAGCTGACAGTGGTGCCTGCTGTCTTGGGCTCAGATTTAATCCAGCCGCAGCAGGCTGGGACTGAGGGTGGCGTCAGTGGCAGGTTGTGGGTGTCCTGGGCCCCAGCTGCTGGCTGCAGGAGAATGTAACTCCAGGGCTCAGGAGGTGTGTGTGTGTGTGTGTGTGTGTGTGTGTGTGTGTGTGTGTGTCTTTGATAAATGCCAGGCCCAAGTCTCTGATCCCCAGGGCCCCACCCCAGCAGGCGAGAGGGGCCAGGCCCAAGTGAGTGGGAAGGAAGAGAACTCAGCTTGGATTCCCCAAGGTCACAGCCAAGAGGAAAGTGGGCTGTCTGGTTCCCTGTGGCTGTGACTGTGGAGGACAGTAGAGGAAAAGTACAGGACACTGAGGGAGAGAGAGGGAGCTCTTAAGCCTGCAGGGGACACACACACTGCCCTAGGAGGACTCTGGGCCACACCCCAAGCAACCTTGAAGTCCCCTATTCACACCTGAGCCCACTCCTCACCTGCCCCGCAGGTCCCCTTAGCCTCCTCAGAGCATCAAAGCACAAATGACAGTCAAGGTCTGACTTCCTCCCAGGAAGAGCTTTGGAAGCCCAGGACACAGGTGACCTACCTTGTCCTGGGTGCCAATCTCAGGGAAGCCTCTAAGAAAGCAAAAGAAAGGGAAGGGTTGCAATCCAGGTCTGCTCTGGCTGCAGGGTCCTGGCTGGGAAGGCTTCCGCGAGGATGGAAAAGATCAGAGGGAGCTTCCCAGAAGCTTCTGGGAAGAAAGCAATCAGCCAGGCACTGAGTGAGATGACAAAGGGCAGACCCTTAGGTGGATGGGCAGTGGGAGAAGGGGTCTTGTGATCCTTTGATGTGGTCCGTGACCCTACTGGAGCTCAGCTGGGCACATTGGAGGGAGGCAGGAGAACAAATTTAGGCTGAATCCTCTGAGCCAGGAGAAGTCTTCCTATCCTCCAGAGTCCATGAGGAGCTAGGCTCCCAGCCAACAGGCCTCCCTCCATCCTCGGAAGCACTGACAACCTAATGACCTCTTACCTGAACACAGAGCCCAGCCTTAGGCATCAGGGACAAGAGCTGAGAAGGCGGCTTCTGCAGAGGGCCGTCAAATGGCCTGGTCTGAGGCCACCTGGCTGGCCTGGGGAGAGAGGGCTCCAGGAGGAAGCCAGGCTCACAGAAATGTGGAGGAGGACTCCCCCATGCAGGGCAGAGCCTGAGGCTGGGAGCTGGCTCCTGCACAACAGTCATGGAAGGGAGGGAAGGCTGCTTGATCCAGTTTCCAAGGGTTTTGGCAGCCTGGAGAGTTCCAGCCTCTCCTTTCCAGTCTACCTGCTATGTCCCTGAGGCCAAGCAGGCAGGAGGGCCAAGGCCCTAGGAATGCTGGGCAAAAAGTACCCAGGGCTCTTCCAATAGGAGAGGGGCTGAGGTCTGAGGCAGGGAGGGTCCAGCCTGAAGCCTCCTTCTTACCCCTCTTCCTTTCACCAGATACAGCCCACCATCAAGGCCCACACAGCAAGGTCCCCAAGGAGGGTGGCTGGTCCCACTGGGTTCTGAGTCTCTGGAGACCCCACTTATTTATGGCATGAGCTGGGCATTACTCTTAGCAGAACAGTAGGCTCTCATTCTGGGCTTCATTTATTAATTGGATGCTAATGAACTGTCACTAATTGCTGATGGTGCTAAAACCCTGTAAGGGGGCCTCAATTTACAGACGAACAGATCGGATCGAGGACTCAGGATCAAGAGGGTATAAGCTGGAGGTCAGCATCTATGGTCAGTCCAGTCCCATCTGCAGGGGCCAGGCCTCTCCTCTTCAGGGAGGAAGTCTGCTCTGGAAATAGAAAAGGGCACATTCCGGGGAACGCTGAGATTCCAGGGATCTCTGAGATTCCAAGGAATTCTCTGATCAAGGCAAACATCTCTGAAAAATGGTACTGTTTTCCCCTTACCCACACTGCATCCGGGTTGCCCAGGTGTTCCTGGGGCAGGCAGTGTGAACCCCTCACCCCTCCCGCAGTACTCAGGGAGGCAGTTGAGGCAGAGGAGCCTCCCCAGATGGCCTGGAGAGAACAAAGGGAAGTGAGACGCAAGGTCCACTATGTTGGGGCATTTTTGTGTCAAATCTACCTTTTCTTGGAAGGGGATTTTCTTGTTTCCAAAGATACTTGTTTTTCTGTGTGAGCCTGGGACAGTGCAGGGCCCAGAAGAGCCCCTGCTTGCACCACCTGTCTGCCTTTGCGGGGTGTTTCTCTGGTCCTCACACAGGACAGACCCCACAGCTGGTGAGGGTCCCGGAGCAAGAGAGAGGAAGACCCCTGGGGTCAACTCTAAAGCCCACGGTGTGGACTGGCAGTGCCCTCACAAGATAAGACGTCGGCAAGACAACATGGAGGCCCTAGCTGTGACTTGGAGCCCTCTCAAGGAAGACACCTGTCATTCTGAATGCCTACCCACTCTCCCGTGTGCCCTTCTTCTCAGGCCTGGGCTGCCTGGGAAGTCAGCGCCAGGGGAGGGAGAGGGTAGTGGCCACCTACTGCATCCTCCCAGGCCTGGCTCCTTGGTCCCCACCTTCCCCATCATGATGGCCACAGCCTCTCCCATTTTCCAGGCCAGTCATGTTAGTGATTGGGCTTGTGAGTTGTAGGTTCGAGTCCTGGCCCCTGGCTCTATTACTGATGGAAGGCTCAGGTCTTAAACATCCTTGAGCTCAGCTCCTCCCTGATCATAATGCACTGTGCATCTCACAGGCTCCTCATGAACAGCAGAGCCCAGAGGAGGAGAAGGGAACCTGGGGGAGAGAAATTGAGGGAAAGTAGAGATGCAGAAGACTGGCAGGGTTGGAGCTGGGAACATCAAAATGCTGCCAGGCCTGGGGAGGAAGAGGATCCCATAGAC